ATACCCGACCTCTGACCTTTATAAAACCTGTAAGGTCCTCTCAGCACGACAGCTTTTTGTTCTTCAAATAGCTTTGACCATGCACACTCTTATCCCCTATGACCCGAATAAACTGTACTCCGTACGTCTTAAACATACTGTTTATCCGTCAGTTAGTGTTTCCACTAGTGTAGCTCAACGTTATTATTATTTTCTAGGAGGATATTTACATAATAAATTAAACGAAATCCTCAATATTCATCCATTGTGCAGAGCGGAATGCAAAAAAAGGTATTACTAATTGGTTGACCACTCTCGACTACGAGTCGACTGAAAACATACTTACTTTACTGAAATAGGTAGCATTCACACACACACACACATGCACGCACACAAGCTCGCACGCACTCACACTCACACACACACACACACACACACACACACACACACACACACACACATTTTTGCACTAGATGCCTATGCTTTATTTTGTAATTTATTTGTATTTTTATATTAAGTTTATGTCACGTTTTCTATTACACTAAGAGGGAGTGAGCCTGGTGATCTGTAACACAGGTATCCAACCTAGTACAGACTCCAGCTCTCACTAACGCACTTGATATTTGTTATTTTTATTTTTAGTAATTAATAATCGTATATTTAATGTATTCATACACTGTAACTATAACCTTATTGAGAGAAATAAAGCATACTGTATTGTATAGTATTGCATTGTACAATATTGGGGCTCGTACCCAAATGTATGTTTGAAGAGTGTTGGTACTAATGTAATTTAGGTGTGATGCGATTTGTATGTTTCCCAGAGTACATTGTTCGGATGAGTTAGGATGTATATAATAATAATATTATTCTGGAGTAAAAGCAGCAGCAGTAGCGTCTATTTTGCGTTCTAATTGCTACCTCTACCATGTTTACCACTACAATGATTATTTTACGGATATGTTTAGTTTAACATAATAAAGCCACCGATTTATCTGTGATGTGGTAAAAAACCAGTGGTACCCCAGTAAGAGACGGATTTTAAATAGAAAACTACAGTGAGACTCTGACATATTAACTAAATTAACGGATAACTCACATATTTAAGGTGAATTTTCACTCGACGTGTTTCGAACCTGTCCATAGTCATTAAAGATAAGCTTCCGCGGCGGTGACTCGACGATAACTGCGCGCCAATTCAGTACGGGCGTGGCCGTGGGAGGCGTCGAGCAACTACCTACGTTTGCTTCGTTCACATTAACGTCATATGTAGGATAGCACATCATACTTCGTCGAATCACCGCCGTGGAAGCTCATGAGTAAGGACCACAGACTGGTTTGAAACAAGTCGAGCAAATATTCAATTTTGTGAAAGAGTTCGTCCAGGGAAGTACTGACATTTTACCTACTTCTGCCGCTAAGCAGTAATGTGAGTATTACTGTGTTTCGGTTCCCCGAATCGAACTCTTCGATATTTTAACCGAATCGTAGGATTGGATATCGTTCTCTAATCGAAGGGCGCTTTCCGAGCTATTTAGAACATTCGAGTTAAACGTTCAACTCGGATTCGGATACGATATCGTTATCCAATAGCGTTTACGAAGTTGGTGAAATAGGTTATAAGAAAAATGAAAATCCTTTTATATACATTTTTAAGACTTTAAAGGCCTAAAATATAGGAATGTATTAGTCTTGCATTAAAATAAATTAATAAAATTGAACAAAGTCCAGACTTTATTTAAAATAATAAGCGATTTCCATACTACATTCTTGCCTTCTAAACAATAGAACGTTCGGTAACTTTCATTCGATAACTGACTTCTGAATAATGTTTGTAGCCTTTGCCGGTCGAGAAGCTCGAGTAATCGTACGGGTGTGACGTCATTTCGGTTCGGTTTCGAATACGACAGTTTGACGTTGGATTCGGGTGTTGTGAATAAAAATGGGACGAAATCGTACGATATCAAATAGTATCGGTCGACAACTGAGTTATCGTAAGGTTCTGAATCGACCTCCAGATCCGAATGACGGTCCGAAAAGTCACAGACCATTTTATCTCTAGGTGTACAAGCGATAATCGTATTTTCGCGGTTTCGACTTGGACTTAGTGCAAAAGCGATATCCGAAGTAGGTCCGAGTTTTCTAGATTTCTATAGTCTCGGATTCGGAACGAAAACTATTTATATGTCAGTCATCAGGGCACGGGTCTCCTCTCCGGCGAGGGTTTAGTCTATAGTCCGCCACGCTTGCCCAATGCGAGTAGAGGACTTCACATGTTTTCCAAGTGTCGTGAACCTTCTTCGATGTGTAGGTTTCATCACGAAGTTTTCCTTTGCCGAAAAGGTCTTGATAAATTTCAAATTAAATTTCGCACAGAGAACCTCAGTGGTGGGAGCCCGGAATCGAATCCACGGCCTCTGCTTGAGAGGCGGTACATCGTACAACGTACAACATCGCGGTCAAACCATTAGGTTACCACGGCTTCTATATATATATATTTTTTATAAATTATAAGTGCCCATTTGACCTCCATTTCACTTGATAGAAAGTTGCGATGAGGTTGACGATGGAGCATATACACCTAAATACTACCTATTTACTCTCGCTTTGAAAAGGCCCAAGTTATAACGTTCAGGGAACAAATCTACAGGCAAGGATTTCCACTCCATAGCCGTTCGCCATATAAATGTGGATGCTTAACGCTTCGTGCGAATCTTTGGAATATCCACAACATTGGGGTGGAACCCAAGCCTACGCCTAGTCCCTCGGCGATGGAAAGGAGAAGGCGCAATTAAATTGTGTAATTCCATCGCACACTCTCCGTGATATACCCTGTAAAATACTGATAAGTAGGCAACTTTACGGCGGTGTTCAAGGCTCTGCAGCTTCGCCTCCACTAATTCCGAGTTACCTATGAGCCTATTGACACGGTTGTCAATTGAATCCAAAGTGGCCAGTTGGTATGTAGCAGAGCCAACCCAAATGTGGCAGCAGTACTCCTATCACGACCGGATATAGAAGAACGATAGCTTCTAAATTGACAAGACGATGACTCCAAGCCCTGTGACATGAATTTAATTTGTAAGTCACGTTGAGTGTCATTAGACCTCTTGAAGAAAATCGTCGTTATAATAGAATGAGGTTCAGAACCCTTAGTGCGAAGTCCCTAACCAGCATTGGGCAAGATTGGTGGGCATAAAAGGAACTAACGCCACGTCTAATGAGCCGCCAAAGCGTCAGGTGGATGCCGCCTATTTTGACTTTCGGAAGGCCTTTGACGTAGTCGATAACGACATCTTGTTATGTAAATTGGCAATATTAGGTTTTACTCCAAATTTACTTAAATTTTTCGCAAGCTATCTGGGCAACCGACGGCAATTTGTAAAAGTAGATGGCTTTGAATCCAATCATTACCGCACCAGATCGGGAGTAAGTCAAGGTAGTACCCTCGGACCGACGCTTTTCCTTATTTTTATTAACGACTTGCCGGAAAAAGTAAAATCTGCGAAATGTCTCTTGTTCGCAGATGACCTTAAATTAAGTCTGGGTATAGGCGAGGAGGCTGACACTCTAGCTCTGCAGAAAGATATTGACGCTGTCACTGAGTGGAGCAGGGATAACCGTCTTCCCTTTAATGAGAGCAAATGCAAAGTGATAACCTTCTCACTAAAGCTGAACCCGATTAAGGTAGTTTATAAGTTATATGACGCCCCTTTGGATAGAGTAAATGACATTCGTGACTTAGGATTAATATTAGATACCAAATTAGACTTCCATAAACATGTAACATTAATATGTAAACAAGCTAGTAGACTTTTGGGCTTCGTCATGAGAACTACTGCTGATTTCGATGACGTAAGGGTGACAAGAGTAATATACAACGCGTACGTGCGCAGCAAGCTTGAGTACGCTGCTGTTGTTTGGAATCCCTACGAGGATAAGTATGAAATGCTTATTGAGCGAATTCAGCGCAAATTTGCCAGGTGGCTTTACAAAAAAAGTCGAGGCTACTATCCATATCTGTATCCCTCGTTGTTTGTCTTGGGTATGGTGACTTTGGAAACCCTTAAATTAAGGAGAGTAATGGCAGCTATTGTCCATTACTTGTCTATTGTTCATCATGCCCTTGACGCTCAAGAGGTGGTGGAAAGGATTGGCCTATTGGTACCGAGGTACTTGCCGTGTGACCAAGCAGGAACTGTGGCTCCGCGTCGCAGGCCTCGTCTCCTACACCGGCCTGCTACGCGTACTAAGCGGGCTGCTCTAGCGCCGACAAACCGTGCTCTGCGACTGATAGGAGACATACTCGCTCGGCACGATGATATAGACTTGTTTGCTGACAGTTTTAGTAGTCTGAGACATAAATTTCAAGTAATAGTGGATGACATGCTGATTCATGGTGAAAAGGTGTTGTAAATGTTTTGAGATGTGGCTGACTGTATTTAATTTTATTGTATTTGACATCACATTAATATGTATGTTAAATTTGTATTTTCTGGAAATTTAAATTTTGACATCATTATTATTATCTTTTTTATTTACTGTTTAGTTTTTTATGTTATTATTGTTTATAAGTTGTTATGTCTGATTGTCTATCTTGTATGCACTTTGGATTTTTTCTGTAAGCATGCTTGTTAACCTGATTAAATGATGATTATAACAATAGACACCGGTGACATCCATTTAAGAGCCCCTTGTGAAAGAGTTGATCCAGGGAAATATTGCCACCTTACCTATTGCCACCAAGCAGTAATGTCAGCATTACTGTTTTCCGGTTTTTAAGGGTAAGGGTGCTGGTGAAAGTACAGGCACATGAGACTTGTCAACTTACGTCTCAGGGTGACGGGCGTCATGGCAGTGCCCCTCAGATCTTTGAGATTTAAAGCTCTGAGTGGCACTGCAAATGTTATGGACAGGCATGTAGCTTACCATCAGGCGCACGACTTTTTCGTCCCGTCACTTGATATTATATAAAAAATCCTCATATTACCGATAAATTTGTAGCTCTAAAGGAAACTTACACGCTAGTCTTCGGATTGGTGATGACAGCAACTCTCATCGCTTCATTGATTGTGGTCAGGAATGTCTTGCTGACAGCGCCGTACGGCCAATAGAAGATGTAGAGGATCATGCGATGGATCAGATTGTTTTCCGTCAACTGTCGAAGTAATTAAGTATGCATATCGAGTTAAAAAGTTAGGCCTTGATTAAATTTATCTTTGAGTTTACTTCGTAATTTCTTGTTTAAACTTAGACAAAGTTCGTATTGTAAATACGAAAAACATGCTACGTTCACCACTTTTGTCGTAGTCTAAGTTCGTTAAATAAATCTCAGGGTCGTATTCCACAACTCTACTCAATACTCAAGTCAGGATAGAGTTATACGAACTCTTTCACGAATTTTTGTTGAGCGATCTTTTGGTTTACAAAAGGACTTGAGTATTGCAGTGAGCACTGAAAATCATACTCAATTCCTTGCCATTAGGGTCGTATTTCTAGTGCTTGAAATCATACTCAAGTCTGCTCAAGTCCTGACTTGAGCATTGAGTAGAGTTCTGGAATACGACCCTCAGTCTAAGTAAGACTTAGGTTGATAATGAATGCTAGGTTAGTAAAGTGTGACTCTTACCTTCTTTTACTCTTCAAATGTCGATATGACAGTTTGATAAAAAGTTCGCATCCTAGGTGTAATAAAATACTGTCGTTGTTTCCGATTTCCATAACACAACACAAGTAATAAATAACACAAGTGCTTTAGCTACTTACTTCGAGATCAGAGAAACGTATGTGGTGAAACGTAACTGGTCAAGTCACAGGCATATGAGACTATTTAACTTTACGTCTCAGGTTGACGGGCGCAGTGTCAACTTCAGATCGTTGCAATGTATGGCTGCCGTGTTCATATATGTAACTGTCATGGCAAAATACGCTCTATTTGTTTAGGTTTTACGTTTTAACTAAAATGAGTGTCCCGGGCGCGCGGGTGAGTCTGGCTTGTCTTTGGTCTTCGGCGGTGGCCGCGCGGCTTTATATTGTTCCGAGGAATTTATATGTTGTTGCCTAGTAAGTGTCGTGTATCATATGTATAATATGGGCATTAACTGTTATGGGTAGGCACCTTACCACCAGTAAGTCGTGCGACTTGTCCGTCCCGTCATTTGATATCATAAAATAAAGCTTATTTATTATAAAATTATAAACAAATATATATGTTATAAAATTGTTATAATTTAAATACGTGTCGGCGTGTCAACATAATTCGTCCCCTTGTAACGGAAAGAACTTCACAAATAAGTTGTTTTTTTAGCATTTATTTATTTAGGAACTTATATATGTACAGTTGAAAATACCGGTTCCATAACTTACGACTGGTAAAAATAAACAAAAAAACAGTCTTTTTGCTCGTTCCATATGGGTATTTCCCAGTATATAATTTATAGCATCTACGGCGGTTAGATTTATTTGCAGGTCTCATTCAGGGCACATTCCAATATCAAGTTATATACTTCTTCTATTACCCAGAATAGTTAGTACTTTGGACTCTATTTAAGGTATTCCAACAAGAACTTTTTTTTAAATAATATTAAGGGACAAAATGGGCAAGTCGTGTGCCTGATGGTAAGCTACACGCCTGTCCACAGCAGTTGCAGTACCACTCAGAGCTTCAAATCGTAAAGATCTGAGGGGCACTGCCACTGCGCCCGTCACCCTGAGACATAAGTTGATAAGTCCCATGTGCCTGTAAGTCCACCAGCGCCCTAACCCTTCAAACCGGAACGCAGTAATGCTGACATTACTGCTTGACGGCAGAAATAGGTAAAGTGGCAGTACTTCCCTGGACGAACTCTTTCACAAGGAACTTTATTGCTACTAAATTTTAGGCTACATTTTAGTAGAACAGGTGTAGGAGACCGCCACTCGCGTTCCGCACTGACAATCTCATCATATTAATAAAATGAAAACAGGCTGAGAAAATTTGACACAGCTCCGACGTCGACAAGCGCTCGCTGGCGACTGACAGCCGTCGTCGTCAAACAGCTGGGCAATTTTCAAGTTTTGGGATAAATTTGAATTTCGTAACTACAGTGCTTCAGTTAAAAACCAAAATTTAATAGGTACTCTGTAGTACTTAGAAATAATATCTTCATTTGAAATTTATGTGCAAAGTTAGATATTTTCTTCTTAAATAATTCGTTTTAGACTTTTATTTTAGTCTGTTTTATATGATTGGATAAAGTACATCCTATCATGTAACGAATTAGCACATTCTTTAGACAGTATCCTTAGGTGTATGGTATATTTTTTGTTAGACCGATCTGTAATAATAAATACCTAAACCATTTGATCTAGCAAAACAGTTCTTCATGCTTCTCCTTTAGTGATTCGCCTTAATGGAATGGTTCCCATTTTAAACCTTTTATGTTATGATATAAATAATAAATAATCAATTTTCGTCAAAATTACACGTTACGTTAATTTGTGAGTGATGAATTATGATTGCTGGGTTGATTTCGTGTGTAGATCGCATGCTAACTCAGTGTTGGAGTCGATAAGTGGCAAAGCCTTTACGAGAAAAATATTGAAGTTAGATTTATCAACTTTTGAGCAGTACATTATTTCAATCTTAGGAACATATGCCAGGAACAATTTAAGACTAAATTAAGCAAACTATTACTATTTGCAAATAGAAATTAAAAAGTGCAATTGACAACTTAATAACAATAATAAAATTTGATTTTAAAATTTCATCTATTAGGCCATAGGGCAGGCGAGAATCTAAAATAGATATCCAAAACAATAATATTCCAGACAACCACTCCAATTGCCTCGTCTCGAACTAGGGAATTTCCTGTGCTATGAGTATTAGACCAACGGAATTCACTCTGGGGCACTTCTCAGATTACTGGGAATCGAACCCGAGAGCTCCTCATCCAGCGCCCGCAATATATCACTCGCTCAAGGTTACGCGATAAGTGCCTACCACTGAGTGGTTCATAGGAGTATTCGGTTCCGCACGACAGCACACGGCGGGCAACGTTATCTCACCTCTCTGAGCGCGTGCTTAGGTTCCTTTTTCCGCGTAGTGACCGCCTGGTGTCATTATTATGGTATTTTCGATTTTGTATAAGAGTAATGTGTCTCTTACGTAGTAACTACTAAGTAATCTGTGATCGAGGTCGTAAGTTAAGGACACTAATATCAACCAATTTTATTTAGTAATGTACGGAACTGACCTCTTGTTATGTAGTTCAATTACTGTAATTACTTCAAATATAACACAAAAAAGTCTATAATTGTGTTTTTTGGATCTATTATACTTAGACCGAAAAAGGGCACAAATAACATTTTTATCAAAATTGAGGTAACTAAATACATACACATTCGGGATTAGGAAATAAAGATCTATTTAACTACTTTTTAATGGAAATATTTCGTATTCGCCGTTTCGGCTCATGATTTTAGGCAGAAATGGGTTAAAACTTGGTGTTTTGGTTTTTTAAACCGACTTTAAAAATGGAGGAGGATCTCAATTTGACTGTACGTTTTTTTTGTATGTATGTTACTCCGATAATTTGAGAAGCGATTTTGATGATTCTTTGTTGGAAAAAGGGTACCTCAGATGTAGTTCCATTTAAACTTGAAGAAAATATTCCACCTTTAAGGGTGGCAAACTAGGGGATGAATGCCTTTTGAGGTCGGTTTTTTTTAGTACTTTGTACTGTTTGTGATAATTATAATATTCAGTGAAGGGACGAACAAGTCGTGCGCCTCATGGTAAGCTACACGCCAATCCAATTTCAAGTTCTGAGTGGCAGTTGCAGTGCCACTCAGAGCTTGAAATCGTAAAGATCTGATGGGCACTGCCACTGCGCCCATGACCCTGAGACATCAGTTGACAAGTCCCATGTACCCGTAATTTCACCAGCAAAAGACCCTGTTAAAATCCGGGCATCTCCGCAAATCCTTGGGTTTTAACCCACTGCCCGTCTCTGTTTGGAAGTGGTTGAATTGTTTCTTGTTATGTTTTGTTACCATACTGGTCTGCCACGCAGAGGTGCCGGGTTCGATTCCCGGACCGGGAGAAATATTTGTATGGCCTACATTTATTTCTCTCGTGAGTTTGGGTGTAATTTGTGGTTGGCTATGTGTGTGTCCATGGCACCCGCGACACAGGGTTTCCCTAGTGCGGGGCTATGTTGAGTGTGTGCGTTATTATTATTATATTATTATTAATTGGCATTGTGTTAATTTGGACCTTTTAGATTTCTAGTATCGGTTGTAGAAGGATAAGTTTGTCTTTGCGACGACGTGACATGAACTCTTGTTGAATTCAAATAGATTAAGATTATTTCTTATAAATGTGACGGCTTCTTGAATAAATAAAGAGGGGAGGGTCAGTAATTGGAGGCTTATGAAATGATATTAATATTAGTGACGATATATTCCTTATATAAATATCCCTTGATAAAATATTTTAAATTGTAATATAGTGATATTGGTAATATGAAATAAAAAATTCTATTATTATTATAATATTGAAAACTCTAGTCATTATACGATATCAGAAGTGAGTAGTTTAGTAGCAGTAGATCTGCTTGTGAGAGAGTTCGTCAAGGGAAGTACTGCCACCTTACTTATTTCTGCCGCCAAATGCGTTCCGGTTTTGAAGGGTAAGGGTGTTGGTAAATTTATAGGCACACGGGACTTGTCAACTTATGTCTCAAGGTGATGGGCGCAGTGGCGGTGGCGGTGCCCCTCAAGTTTTTGCGATTAAAAGCTCAGAGTGGCATTGCAACTGCTGTCAGACAGGCGTGTCGCTTGCCATTAGGGGCACGACTTGTTCGTCCCATCACGTAGTATCATAAAAAAAATAGTACTAAAAAATCGACCGACGGAGGAAAGCGTTGAATAGCGTTTTAAAGGAATTGCCCCGACCCAACCGTCCGTTCATCACACAGTAAATACAGTAGAAGTGGTTAGTTTGCGTGCGATGCGTGCCAATATAGGTTTCGAAAGACGTATATGAGATTTGTTCGCCACTTTCGCTTTGTATAGTATGGTTGTGTCAGTGTGTATTGTTCCGTTCAAATTCTCTAAAATCCTAGTTTAATGCCTTATTGCGCTGTTTTAAAGTGCAAATATGATAGCCGCAGTAAAAATATTACCCGTGGTGGTATTTATTTAGACTTTATTAAATAAGACTTTATTTTAATAAATTTACAATTTATTGTTTATCCAAATATTTTTTTGTTACAAGAAACGAAAGAAAACCTTATTTATACCCCTGCAATATGGTCGCTTCTTTTTTGGAGAACTAAATTAATAACTCCAATTCGTCATCGTTCAGCAATTAGCCGCTAGATGGGCGCCCATTGATTGAAATTTCAATATAATATCAAAACGTCGTAACTTATAATGATATGTATTGATGGTACTGAAAGTTCAATATCATCAATACCTATCATTGTAAGACGATATGCCAACAGGGTAAAGTTTAAATTGTATTACCAAACCAGAATTTGTTATTTCTTTTTAAATTCGAAACTACGACCGAATATCGAGATTTTTTGTGTTTCAAATTCAGAATCTGTGAGTTTTGGTGACATCGGTTCTAATAGTAATCGAGGCTTAAGACACTTCCATTGTGTTTTTCTTCCGTGGTTCATCCCGTTACTTGGTAGCATAAAAAAATGGGATTTGAACAGAAATGGGTTGGTACATTCAATATGTGTTTAAATTTAAGGTGCTTAGATTATGCTTACCTCTTCTAAGATGTTTTCACATTCTTCCGGCTCACATAGAATTAGACTTGTTCTTTCCTCTGATGTGTCTAGGGCCGTTTTCAGATACTGGTAATACTAAAAGAAAGTAATTTCACTTCAATATCATAAGACTTCCTAATAAAATTAGCGGTAGTTAAGGTTGATTTTTTTTATATAATTTTACTATACCGACCTTGTCTTTGTTATCCTTTGTGGTAAAGTCCATGTTCACTAATGGGACATTATGTTGGTTCAATAGACATAGCAGTTCGAATATGTCCTGAGATCTGGAAAAAGTTGACAGATTTACCGATAAGAACGTACTATCAGCAAAATTGGCAAGTTACCCCCTTAAAGGTTCTTTTTGTGTGCAGACAACGGCATTTAGGCTGCTAACAGATGGATTGCATTTGCTTTTAAGTTAATGTGTACATACTTCTACTGCATACAGTCTAGATTTCAAATGCGTGCAATCGAAACTTCAACTGCAAGCGTCGGCTACAGTCAATGTGAACGTATAGTCTGAGAATCAAAAGCAGTAATTGAGACTTTTAATAGGATATTACATTTCTTGTGTCTGAAACAACTCGATTGTTCTCAGTAACGGGAAAATGTTGCTTAAGGGTTTAATTAATGTAATGGTATAAACATAAACACAATTAGTATAACTGTTTACACTTTTGCACAAATCTTCAAATATTTTTTTGTAATGGAACCTTTGCGACCGAAAGTGTACGACCGCAAACCCTACTATAAAGTATGGTCGGGGATTACGAACGTGAATTTGCTGACAGATTAAAATTGAGGTTTCGATAGTGATATGTTTATATCCTTGATAAAAAATAAAGTCAGCTGTGCATGTGCAACTTCAGCACATACTTTTTTATGTACTTTATAGTTTTCATTTTTTTAAATTTGCATTCCGTTTAACTTTTTTTAACATCTATGTTTCCATCACATCAACAAATACCCTGAGTTCCTGAGCTGGGCGCGTGGCGATTGCTGTTTGCAGTCAATGCCCATGCTGTCTATCTGGCTGCAGACTGAGCTGCGGACATCAGCAGATTGCTTGTTCTTGACAACCAGTCGCATTTAAATTTGTTCACAAAAAAAGGTTAACTAAACAAGGAGCGATGTTGCTACCAATTTCCGCAAACAAAGCTGTATTGGGACTGGCAAGGTTTTAACGCCGCTGGTAGTACTGTAGAAATCGCATATCAACCTCTAAATCTTCTTGCGCTCGTGGCAGCTGGCCATAATCGCAATTCGATTCAACAATTTCAAATTCAAATAAACTTTGTCTCCAAATTTTTTGACGCTTTCACTATATAGGGTGCCAACAAATTATAATACGGATATGTTTAGAGACAAATACTTAACCTCATTATAGTCAATATTGCGACTGTCTTAATTCAAAGTATCTAATTATACTCACTTTGAAGTAAAACAGTCGCAGTAATTAGTGAGTGTTCGAGAAAGGTAAGAAAACATTTAATTATAAACAATTAATTACCAAATACGGGTATGTATGGTGTAATGGATACATTTCCACAACCCGACAACGTCATTGCACCTGTTTTGCATGTAAAGCACTGGGGTAATAACAACAGTATTCAGTGATTAAAACATCTACAATTTTACATATCGAAACCATTTCATTGTAACTGGTCACTTCACAATTAAATAAAGGTAAGTCAATGTCACTTTATTTTTTTATCAATAAAATGCACAGAAATTTTTGTTTGGATAGAATAAAAATTATATTCCTTTTTTGTACAGGCTAGGAAATTTTTTAAATCGCATAAATAGTTTTTGATTTGTATTTGAAGTTGACACTTCTGCTGAAAACAGACGGTTCTCAAATTAACTGTATATAATTTGTGAGAACCTCATATGATTCGATTCCGAATATATTATATTCGAAATCAGCAACTACAAGAACAATTAACACACAATTTTCTACTTTATTTTGTAAATAATGCAGAGTCATTACGTACGCAGAACTCTAATAAGGACCTACTTGATATTAGTAGAATTTCCCCTAACAACCGTCATGGTTCTGGTGGGGATTCCTTCAGCGATGTCCTTCACAGCTAAGGAGAAATCTTGAGGCAGCCGCTTAATTTTGTCCACTGTTATGTCTTGTATGTCCCAAAAACAATGGACTGCTCGAAGGCATATGAATATTATGTATGTTTGGCGCATTTTTCACTGATGACGGTAATATAAAGGGCGTAAAGACCTTTATACCAGAACAGTTTTATTTAAGACGTGATGCGTCTTCCTTCTCTAACGTTTTCCATTAAATAATTATCAATAGTTACTAGCTCCTTAGCAAAATGTGACTTAATTTTATTTCTCTATGACTATAGAGCGTGTAACCAATAACAAGAGAAGTGTGGTAACTCCATACATTTAAACCTATAGCTAAATGTACACTATGGACACAGAAATGTGAACACGCTAGGAATTTAGACCGAAGAACACGTGCAAATCTCAAACGTTTTCTTGATGTATATAAGTCGCACCTTTAGTGTAATAAGGTCACATCTGCAAAATTACAACTTTTCAGGAGAGAGGTTTAAAGATTCTACGAATTAAATGAATCTTTAAATTTTATGTACTTAATTTTGTTACAAGTGGTTTTTGTTATTTTTTTTATTTTCATGTGATTTTCAAGGAAACGAGATATGAATTGGATTTCGCACAATAATCGCGTCAGGGTTGCGTCGTACCTATGACAATGGATTTATTCTTCTGATCTATTCTATTTCCTATGTGTAACAATCGCGAAAACCTAAGAACTCGATATTCTATTTCTATTTATATATTTCCTTAATGGTGGCCACTGGGCATGGTTCTTCTGATCAAGGATGCCGTAAATTTTGAAATATTTACTTACTTTGACAATAATTACATTATTACAACATAATCGTAAATATGTACGTTTTAATTCACTGTTGTGCTCTGACTGGAATCGTGTGGTAGAGATTATTAAACTAAATACGGCCCTTGAAAATGTAGGGTGCTTTATTCATATGAATGTCGAAATTTTAACTGACATTTCTAGTGCGCACGGATTATATTTCCAATATAGATTAACTTATTACAGATGCGACTGATGTTTGGTATCATTTGCAAATGGTAATTTCAGTAAAGTAACGCGCTACGTTACATTAAGGTTGTCATCCCACCTTTTTGTATCGCCTCTCACCATTCGTATCGTATCGTTTTTCTTCGTCTACTCATATTTAAATTTAAAATTTTGAATTGTTCCATTTTCCTTCGCATTCTGCTTTTATTTCTTTCGACGGTCATTTCCTGCTTGACCGCGATAGCGGAAACTTCTAAATCAAATTGTCTAATTTTTTATTGTTTTTAAGTTTAATCATAATACAATCAATGTAAATCATGTATCGACCATAATAAGCGAATAATAAGTCTATCTGTAATTCAACATAATACAACCCGGAAAGGGTGCCTAAATTTAACATCTACCAACTTTTGGTTTTAGTTAGGGAGTGTTTTTTTATTAATTTGCTGTTTTTCTACATTTACCTTTTATTTGTTACAGTTTTTTTTCTTTACTTTGCCATTTACTTCACGTTAAATAAATTTGTGGACCGGAAGTTTCCTGTTTTACTCCTGATCACGGTTGTTAGGGTCACAACCCTCTCAAAGTCATATTTAATTGCATATTTTATTAGAAAAAATATAGATTACAGTGTGTCCTAGAAGATTTGCTAAACTACAACTTAGCGAAAATATAAGTCAACGATTGAAAATTTTGGCATCGGTTTATACAATAAATTAGTAACTTTCTCTCAGAGACTAGTAAGGCAGAATTCGAAAATTTTAATTATTAATATCGATAATTATCGCTGTCTTTGTGCTAGACATGAATGTTTGGGATGTTATATCATTATTTAATACAGAATTACCTCAAGGTAAATATACCTCTTAGAGACAAAATATGGTAGGCACAATTTAGTAGTTTAAATGAACAACGTTTATAGTCTTTGTCGTTGTGCAGCGGAGTATATCACCCCTTCCCATCCACGGGATTGGCAGTTGACGAGGTAAGTGGCTACTTTTCATCGAAAAGGGCTACATGACCGATGGTTTAAAAGCTTTACCATGTTGCCTTCTCGGCACCTTCAAAGTTACGGTTAGGTATATACGATAATATGCACGTGGCTTTATTTATAGCTATGTTGTCGATTAGGGACGCTTTCAAGGTTACGTGTAGTTGTTGTGTTGAGTTGGTGAGTAAGTGTACTTTTAAAGTGCGTTTACTTAACAAAACATACTTTAGAAGAAGACTTGCTTTACTTAAATTGTTTTAGAGCATTTTAGAATATCGTAAAGAATATTTAGTGCGTGGAGCGTAGAGTAAAGATACCTCTTACTTGTATACTGGAATAATTGTGGCGGAATGTACTTTTTAGTATTATTATTTAGGTTCGTTCCGTAGCTCAGTTTCGAGAGCGTTAACTACGGTATGTTGAAAGCACTGGCTAGTCCAGCCGTACATAGCAGTAGCAGTTCGTATTTCGTATTAACAATTGTAACTTTTTAGTATTCATGCCTCCACAAGAAGAAGAAGGCTTCACAAACCTTTGGAAAAGGTGCGAAGCCTCCACCCCTATCATGGTCAGCGTTTAAAACTATGACTTAAACCCGTCATTAGAGAAGATTTAACTGCCTCTGTGGCCGATCGGTTACCATGCTGGATTGCCATGCAGAGGTCCCGGGTTCGATTCCCGGGCCGAGAGAAATATTTGTATGACCTACATTTATTTCTATATCATTCTGTGTAATTTGTGGTTGTCTATGTGTGTGTCCATGGCACCCGTGATTTCCCTAATGCGGGGCTATAAGTGTGTATGCTTTGTTATAGAGAAGATTATTAACGAATACACTCTATGTTCAGTTAGAACTAAACATTAACCAAAAAATTTAATTAATAATTAATCATGTGGCATATGTGTAGCGCCCCTAAAGATGCCACCTGCAATGACTCGTCCGTCGGACACCGGCAGTCGCTGAATAATGTACACCGAGAATATCCATCAAGCTAATAAGTGAGTCTAGCGTGTACAAATGCTACCCTAATATCGTACGTATCATTTGGCCACAGAGTATATTATTAATCAGTAATCCGACGCATTAATATAATGTAATAATAACCTATAAGAAAATTTGTACGTCTGAGCGGGAAAATCCGTAAGTCCCTTTGGCTTCTGGCGTTTTTGAGAATGTCGTATAAGTGAAGCTGTAGTTACTAAAAAAATACGAAAATAGAAGTACAAGTTCGATACGGCACGTATTGTTGGCCGTTTCTTGAACCTGAGTCCCTGACCCCGGCGAACTGCGTCATTGGCAGAGAATCATCAAGCGTTTTAAAAATTCAAAATCTCTATTTTAGACAATGAGAGAGGCGGGAGTTTAAAATAGATATGCAAAATAGTAATAATTTATATAAGAAGAAAGTAAAATATGTGATGATATGTATCGCAAAATAACCTATTCTAAATTTGGAATCAGAATAAAAAGGGATTATGATGGATCTCCATTTTCATGTAACCTAACACGGTCTTGTAATGTAGATAATACAGACATATAGAAATAGCAGAGCGTGGTTTACAGACACATAATTATATACACACACAAACCTACGTTTGATAACCTACGTTTGTGTGTGTCTGTGTGTGCGTATACACATGAACACACACGCGTTTGAACCATTGATTTTACTGTAAATACAAATGATAAAGTGAAAAAATCTCATCCTTTTATTATTTTCCTATCCATCACAGCGAGAATATATGTTAATCCATTTAGCCTGTGGCATTTTTGATTATGTCGCATTAGTGAAGCTGTAGATAAGAAAAAGTACGAAAATAGAGTTTAGGCTTAGACTGTAGTTCCCACACAGCCCCAATGAAAATCAGAATATTCACACATATACTTAAATTGCTTTGCAGTTGTGTGTAACCTTCTGCTTCAGAAGCTGCTTCGTGATGAAATTTAATATTTTTTTGACTTTATTTCTTTTTTTCGACATTTTAGATAGACTAAAGAAAGAAGAAGAAAGAAAGAAAGAAACGTTTATTCAGCCAGCATCACACATTGCCAGTATACAAAGAGTTACAGTTACGAGCTGAAATGGATCCAAACTCACCATATGTCACAGCTCAATTGCTGTAACGCTGGTTTTCAGTTGGAACCATTTTGAAGGATGAGATGGCACGATATTACTTAAAAAAGCAAACAAAAATTTACCGTTTATACTAAGAACATTGGAAAATTATTAACCTTAAGATATTGCTACATAGTTCATTATTGACTATATGAAACATTGCAGCTACACCTTTTTATAAATTTAGTTACCTACTAATTTACTAATCCACAACCAAATCACTCCTCCACTGCCAAACCAATATTTAACAGTGAAAGAGTGACTAGTTTGAAATTTGATATATATTTCGTTATTATGCTATAACATATAGAAAAGTATGCAGAAAGTTACATTTCAATATTTAAATATTATCCTTGCTTCATTTACATTTGTTTACATTGTCTCGTACAATATTGTATGGATGATATATATATGGAGTTAGATTCAGTTGTGTGGAAATAAATTTATTTTTACCTAGCCGCTTAGTTGGAGCTCTAGATAGTATTGCTTTACCTTAACTTTAAAAGACTGAGTGGAGGAGAGGATTCGCAAGGGAGGGGGAATATTATTCCATACTAAAGGCTTCATACTCATGCAGTGGACTGTTTCCAAGTGTAATATTACAGTGAGTGTGGTGTATCGAGAAAATGTGAGTGACAATAGTTACTCTGCAAGAAGTCGAGACAAGGGTAGTAGTTGACAGCAAAAGAGGGAAGACAGATAGGTTTCTCCTTAAAGGTGTTAACTGCCGCTTGACGTTCAACCCGTGACCGTGGAGTGTGCAACCGTGGAAAAATTCGTGAGATCCGCTGGTTTGTTTCTTGGCTTAATTGGCATAGCATCTGGCACGGCTTGCTAGAAGACGTCGGTTCAAATTCGGCCGGATTGAAGGATTTTTGTCTAAGTATTCGATCTTTGTATTAATAATTATAACTAATAAATGATGTTTTAAATTTTTATTGAATTGATATTCAATTATTTTTTTGTGCAATTACTCAACTATTTTGTTATAATTGTTAATACA